GTAATTGAAGCCATGGGAATTTATCAATTGACCAAGGGAGGAGGTGCAGATGGAGAAGAGAAGGGGTCTGAGGACAGAACCTTGAGGGACCCCAACAGAGAGAGGGAGTGAAGAGGAGGTGGCAGCGTTATAGGTAACACTGAAGGAGTGCTGCGATAGGTAGGAGGAGAGCCAGGAGAGAGCAGAGTCTCTGAGGCCAAGAGAGTGTAGTTTTTTGAGGAGGAGGGGGTGGTCAACTGTGTCAAAAGCCTCAGAGTGGTCGAGGAGTAGGAGTACTGTATAGTGGCCATTGGTTTTGGCGGTTAGTAGGTTGTTGAGTTTGAGTAGGGCAGTTTCGGTGGAGTGTAGGGGGTGGAAGCCAGACTGTTGAGGATCGAGGAGGTTGTTGTCGGCGAGGTGGGAGCTCAGGCGATTATAGACTAAGCGCTCTAGGAGTTTAGAGGTAAATGGCAGCAGGGAGATGGGTCTAAAGTTGTTCAAGTCGGTGGGGTCCAGGGAGGGTTTTTTAAGTATGGGAGTGATGTGCGCGTGCTTTAGAGGGGAGGGGAAGGTGCCAGTAGAGAGGGAAAGATTGAAGATGTGAGTAAGGGTGCGTAGGATGGAAGAAGAGGGTGACCGTAGGAGTTGTGAGGGGACAGGGTCCAGGGGGCAGGTTCTGAGTGACCTCTTCAGTAGTATCGAGTTTGAAGGGGCGAAGTGTTGAGGGGCTTTTGGTGTAAGGAATGCTAGGTGGGGTGGAAGTCTGAGCAGTGGCGATGTCCCTATGAATTGCGTAAATTTTGTTTTTGAAGTGGTTAGCAATCTCGTGGGTGGTGAGTGAGGTACTGAGTGGAGGTGGGGGCAGAGAAAGTAGAGAGTCAAAAGTAGAGAAGAGCCGACGAGGACTGGAGGAGAAGGTATTATTGAGGGTAACAAAGTAAGCTTGTTTGGCAGCGTGAAGGGAGGAAGTGTATGTTAGGAAGGCAGATTTATATCGGGTGAACGCTTGTTGGGATTTGGTTTTACGCTATAGTCGCTCCAGCGATTTATATGTTAGAGCAATTTAAATACAGGAAAAAAAATATAGGTTCACAGATCACAGAACAATAGGCAGTTTGTTACATTCCTTTTTTTAATTCTTTATTTAAGATTATTGTAAAGGAACAACATATGATTACATTAAACTGTCTCTCAAGATGCAGCTGAGAATCAACTAAAACATACTCTTAGTCATAACAGGGATATGACAGAAGAAAATGTACAACATTACAGAACACGACATAGCATTGATACACTGTCATTTTGACTAAGACACATAAGGGGAGATTTACTAAAACTGGTGCACTCAGAATCTGGTGCATCTGTGCATAGTAACCAATCAGCTTCTAACTTCAGTTTATTCAATTAAGCTTTGACAATAAAACCTGGAAGCTGATTGGTTTCTGTGCAGAGCTGCACCAGATTTTGTACTCTCCACTTTTAGCAAATAACCCCCTCTGGTTGCACAATGGGAAACCTCTACGGCTCATATCGGTCATAGCACAACTCACACCTGTGCTGGACAGTTTCTTTCAAAAATTAAAAAAGTGTAGAAGTAGGAAGGATAGGAAAACAACCATCAGCCTTAGAAAAATGTAAAAACAATGAGAGGTACATTGGAGGACTATGGGGGAGGGGAAAGGGTATGTAGAGGTTCCAGTTTTTATAACAATCAGAAAGGTGAATTTGGAAATAGCAGTATCTTACTAACATTACCTTAATAGGGTAGACCCATTTATGCCAACAATTACTTCTTATCTAAGGCAGCCCATAGATGATACAGTTGTTTTCGTTCAACCTGCAGGTTGAAAAAAAAATGACTCAGTTCCCCCATCTACACATTCAATGTAGATGGGGGAATCCTCTCTGTTGTAATCTGACTGATTGGCGAAAATCCAACAGGCTGATTGTACAGAAGCTGATTTGTATATCGACTTCTGTAAAACCATCCTGCCCATGCAAGGAATTCAATTTGGCTGGTCCTTGCTGAACCAGTTGAATTTTGATCCCTGTATGGCCAGTTTAAAATACAGAGATGAGTATTTATTTCTAATATATAGAAAGATGGAGAAGAATACATTTCTGTCTACATGCGTAAATAATAAAAAAAAAATCAGCTCTCCATTAAACAGCTACGTTGCTAAAATATAAGGTTATACGTTTGATCGTTAAAAGTGTTCATTTATCCAAAAATATTACTACCTTAAAACATACTGTATCTCCAGCCCATTAATCTAGCTCTTCTCTCCCTGAACCCACCCCCCAACTACACATTGTTTTTAAAAAATGAATTAAGTGCATACTTGAAAGTAGAACAAAAGGCATTTTTCCTTTTGGATAGAGTAAGGAGGATTATAACCCATGCCAGAATTTTTAGCCATCTGTGTCCCATTGGGGAGATTTCCCTTCACTTCCTGTCCCATAGTCAAATTAGGATGTGAGAGGGTGAATCTCCCCAATGGGGATACAAACCTGACAGGGGTTCCAATCCCTCTCAATTCCCTTAAAAAAAAAAACAAAAAGCTTGGCCTTTAGTTATACTTCGATTTCAAAACTCTTCTGTCCAGTCTGAGATGTCAAGGGACATTTTTTTCTTGTGGTGCTGGAGATCCTTACTACATCACTAAAGGGTGCTCATGCAGTGACATATATTTGCTGATTTTACAGTAAAGAATTTACAGGTTTTATTTCTCTGGTTTTTTTTTTACCAGTTGTAAACACGTTTGCTGAGCTGGAATATAAAAGGGTGCAGCAAGGATAACAATATAAATGCACAGGAGAGGGTTAACTTAGGTATTTAAACATCCTGGCCAAACTGCAAACTTTGTCTAGCCTTGGCCCATTCATCTGGTGTTGTCCAGTTCCCTCTAAACAAATATGTATCTTCTAAGTAAGTTTCCTGTGTTTCATCTGAAATCTCTCACACCGCTGGTAAGATATACAGCTGGTTATTTTTTCCATTGGTTATATTCTTTCTATATTAACCTATAATTGTTTGAATAGTGATATTTCAGATGACAAAAAGTTATCCAAAAAACTCAAGATTTGTAGAGCTTGCAGAAAGAAATATTGAAGATAAAAATTGGGTAAGAAGAATAAATGTATATTATCATTGTAATGACCATATCACTTACTGGTATATAATTATAAAAAAGCAATATGCAAAGTACTGTTTTTTTTAGCAACCAATAAACAATCATCCTCAGTTTATCACCAGAATGCACTCTCATCAATGTAAATTTTCAAATACTGTATGTCGAGTTCAACATTTGAATGACCCAATTTCTTATTTATTTTGGGAAATAGTAAGAAAGGCTAAAATGATTATAATGCTTTTGTTTTTTTAATAACATATTTGTATACTTACCTTCTCTGTGCATAGGGTTCCCCAAGTCACAAGGGGACTTACCAGAGAGATGCTTTTTGTGGTAGACCATTTACCTGGATACTCATTGTTGAGTATTATGACATCCCAGGCACTGTATCAGAGCGTGTGAGTATCCAAATTTTTCTTTCTTATGCTGGCCATATACAGCATGGCTCTGATTTCAGCTTATTCCTGCAAAATCAGCTGAAATTAAACCTCGGGTGGCCCTGTAGGCACCACCTGGCTTGACAAAATTCAGTGTAAAAAGTTATGTTGCTGGGCATAAAATTCTTAGCTGAACATTGACTGCAGCCAATCAGATGTAGGCACTGTTCAGGTATTCTGACAACCACAGGAGAAGCACAGAATACAATAGCCAGCAGGGAAGATTTATTCATTACAGCTATCTGTTTAGCATAGATGGGGGAATCTATTGATTTCCGTTGTTCAAACCGTAGACCATAAACTATTTTTTTTTTCATTCAGCCAGTGGGCAGAATGAAAAAAAACACAAAAAAACTAACAGATTACTTCATCAAGGTGGATGGAGGAATTCCCCCTCCCAGCAAATTGGCTGCAGCCACCAATCAATGGAAAATTTTCCAACATGTCCCTTTGACAAAGGTCGATCAAATGGTCAACTTCTGTCAAGCAAAGACGGCCACACATTCCTGCTGAAATGGTAAATTTTCAATCAGTGTATAGCCAGCTTTAGACTCTCTGTATGTCTGAGTGCTGAAGACACCCTTACCTGCTCCTCATCAATCTGCCATAAATAAAAAAATACCATACATTTTCTTTTCTTTTTTAATATGTTTTATTGCTATTGTCTACAAATACAGAAAATACAGACATAATCAGAGAAGACTGCAGATATATAGTAGTCTACTATATATGCTTAGGATTAAATTTTAAAATTCAAAGACAAGGCAATTACACATAAGAGCATGTTAAATTGGAGAAGGGATTCCCATCTCACTGTTCTGCACTTTCCCATAAGATCTACTTAAAACATTTTGGAACACTTATTCACCTATAGGTAGGGAAACATACAGAACCAATTTTACCATACTTGTCCACTATTTAGGAATGTGCAACAGACCCCTGGTCATCAGATCTTAGCAACCTGGTAAAAAATGAAGTAAGCATTCCAGTTCCTCACTTCAGAGTTGAAAATAATATCATTTTTTCATTATGGGAGTAGCTGTTGAAGCTTCTATACTTAAGTGTGGCAGGATCTAAATAATGGCCAACATTAGAGGTCTGCTAAACAGGGGATTATTACATACATTATAAAGAAATCACTGTCCTTCAATACTTTAAATATATAAATGCTTTTCCCGACCTCCAGCTCAGCATTTAACACCGGAGAGAGAAAGATACAACCTATGTGAAACTACAATTCCCAGCATGCGTGAAAAGGGCAATAAAAAGTTGGGATAGGGCTCATCAAGTGACTACAACAGCTTTGATATACAAAACACATCCAGGTTTCAACATATGTTTCAGTGTAATTTTTTTTTTTTTAATGAGTGTCATGTCTAAGTATTATATTTAAGTATGGATTACCAAAAAATTTATACTATTTGATTACACATCAAATAAAACAACAAAATTACAATTTTGCAGGTGGAAGAACGCCTTTACTCAACTCTTGAACCCTCAAATGACAAATTTTTTTAACTTCTTCAATGCCCTTTTGAAGTTCTTGCGATGGATCATTTTGAAGGCGAGAGCGCAATGCCTCCATAATTTTATATTTATCTGACATCTTAGCACATATTACAAAGGGAAATCCAAACTTGGTCTTGTATTGAGAATTTAGGAGACCAAGTGTTTCCCGTTCTCCACTTGTAAGGGTGGTGAGACCGGCTTGTCTTTGCTCCTGCTGGGATTCTATTGTTAATGATCCACTTGTTAATTCTCTCCCAGCCAAATCAGGATGACATCTCAGGATACCTTCTTTGCCTATATAAAAATAAAAAAATAATTGAAAAAATGGAAAAATCTGGTGCAACTTTTCACCTGATGAGAGATTTTTAGTAAATAGTGTCACAATAGCAAACAACAACAAAAAGGTTACACTTTATTGAGTGCTACCAGTAGGGCTTTTGTTGGCAAGGTTGTGATTATATGGCAATAAAAACATTTGGTCAGTACACTGGGTAACTAAGAGAATAATGTAATAAGCTTGTGGAATTTATGGCTTCCCTCAAGCAGGGACAAGATAAGAACTTTAGGATATTTCCAGTCTTTTCAAGCTGAACTCTGCAAGTCTTTGATGTGTCCCAGCCTACAGAGCTGGTCTATTCTTATGCCGGGGTGGTTGGTGGAAGTGTCCTGCAACCATTGTTAAATACAGAGAAATAATTTCTAAGGTGACTGTTGTTTTTTAACACTGTCCAAGCACACGGAGGGGGTGGGTTGTAAGCTGGATGTCTAATGGGAAAGCTCAACATTTCTATTCCAAAATGTTTTTTCCTCTCTCCATATATGTATTAGAACCCAATGGGTTAATTTACTAAAGGACATAGGCTGTCCACTTTGCAAGAGATATTGCAAGGAAAGTTGTACTTTGCATGGGAATTTTCCCAAAAGCTTAGTCAATGTTGTGAAATTTCACTGCTAAACTAATTTTTGCTTGAACATGATTGGATGATGGAAGTCAGCAGAGCTTGACTTCATTCACTAAACTCTGTGGAATATTCTCTTGCAATGTGCAACTTCCCCAACAAAGTGAACCGTCTATTTGCCTTTATTAAATCAACCCCAATAAGTGGAAAAAGTGGACTTATGCCAGCCATAGAAAGCTTGATATCTCAATTGACAGATAGATTTCTATTAATTTTTTAATCATCATCAGAGCTGCGGACCTCATTGTGTTATGCTGATAATGGCACACACTTGTTACTTCTGAGAAAAGGACAGGGATCCACTCAGGGAGATTTTATAAATGATGCCAGTGACTGCCTAATACAGTACGGCTCAACAATGGCTGGTAATTTATTTATTATAAGTACTTATATAGCGCTGTCAATTACACAGCACTTTTACATATATATATATTGTACATTCACATCAGTCCCTAACCCTCAAGGGGCGTACAATCTGAAGTCCCTAATTTATACATACTAGGGCCAGTTAACCTACCAGCATGTCTTTGGATTGTGGGAGGAAACTAAAGTACCCAGAGGAAACCCACACAGGCACAGGGAGAACATGCAAACTCCAGGCAGGTGGTGCTGTGGTTGGGATTCAAACCAACATCGCCAGTACTGCCATGGGGAAATGCTAACCACTTAGCCACTGTAATCACCATTGACACTCAAAATAAAGAGCTCTACTTGTGTTGGCTATCTATAGTCAGCTTTAAACCAAATACAAAAGGCAGACATGCCCAAAATGCAATTGTCAACTTTCCCATGTGCAGAACATATAAAAAATGATATTTACAAATAGGCCAAATTAAAAGGATCCAGACAGCAAATGCAACGAGAAGCCAGAAAACACCTCTCTAGGTCACTATAGGTATACTTCCTAAAGGATGTGCAGTGTAACCTATTACTTGTTTTTACTAGTTTCGTGTATCACCAATCACATTCAAATATCAAATAGACAAATCTGAAGCTGATTGGAGGCTTTCAGAAATAGTACTGGTGTTTTTTAGTTTTCTGTTTCAGAGACAGCTTATATGTTAACCCCTGTGTATACTTATATGACTGTAGTAAGGGCATTAAACTGTCAGCTCACCTGGGTTTTGAAGCAGTTTCAGGATTTGATGGTGCTACATAGGTTAATCAATTATGGATCATGTTCATTTGTGCATGTTAGGAAGATGTACTCATGTACACCACGTGTGAAACTCAGTTATATTAAAGTGATCCCTTTTTAAGACTGAAGAAGAACCCAGCAGGAACACCATATGACATTGGGATCATAGAGAATAGCTTAGATGTCACAGTAACAAGACTGAATGTGCTGTCCTATTCCCTAACCAAAATATATATGTGTCATTGGTACACCTTCACCAGCTTCAAAGCTATGTCCTATGTCACATAAAATTCCACAAACATTACATTTGTTTGGGGACTGTTACCCTTCACAGGGTATCTTCATCATGGCATACATGACATATGCACCCCTTAGCATCACTTTAAATACTTCAGCCAGTCTAACCCAAGATTAGTTTAATATGGCTTTGACCTGCCCTGTCTGTGACTGGAGCAACAACACAATGTTGAGGTTATCTGCTCTCTCCTGCTGTCAGTAAGCTGTGTGCACAAACTCCATTTTTGAAGATTGGTGTCCGTTTGTGAACCAGCGGTAATAGATCGCTGCTCAGTTCTCCGGCATTCTCGGAGAACACAGTTCTCCTGTGAATGCAGTTTATGAAGCAGTTCTCCGAACGAAGGGAGAACGGTCTCCAAACGCTGGAGAACGGTCTACAAACTCTGAAAAACGGCTCATTTTACTATAATCTCTCCAGATTACAGTAAAAGATCAGTTTACTAAACAGAGGTAAACTATCTCTGCTTAGTTTTCGGTCCCTCCGATTCTCCAGCTCTGGGCTGGAGAATCTGGAGGGAGAACACAGATCTCCAGAGAAGGGCTGACATGATCTCCTGAGTGTCATAAACTGTGAATGACCAGAGAATAGCTGAGATCTGTTGAATCGCAGCTATTCTCTGTGTCATAAACGGACACCTTAGTTTCTGTTTTAAAAAAACACCCTAATTTCGCCTTCCCCAATGACTCCAATACATTAACCCAATATGGCAACATACAGCTGAAATTTCCCAATTTTGCCAACATTTTAAGGAAATTAAACTTTTTGGTTTGTCTCTCTAGTTCTACTTAAAGAGAACTAGGGAGACAAACCAAGAGTTTTGTACTGAAACACGGCAGTTTTTTAATAACTGTAACACATACACAAGGTTTAGGGGTGGTTCTAGGGTCATCAAGAAGGTAAAATAAAGTGGCCTGTTGGGTTAAAACTCAATTTGGGCTGCCTGACAGTTTAAGCCAAAGGTCACCTTACCTTAGAATGCATGGCTAGCATATAGCAATGTGTATACCGTGTGATCCAGCAAGATTGTTCACAATTTTATGTTGCTAATTGGTAACATTATTAAAATTATATACAAAGAAAAACACACAAACATAAAATACTGCTAAATAACTAATTGAAGGGTGATGTGAGGAGGAAATGGAAATGAAGGTTTCTCTGTCATTACATGCTGACTGTACAAGCTCAGGATTGTAGACACTGCAGGGCGATCATGATAAACAGGATGCCGGGACTGTAATGTGCCTGGAGCTGCCTCATGTTCCATGTAACTCTTTGATATTCATATACCCAGCAGCCCTTTACACACATTGTTCTACTATAAGATCCTTTCCCACACATACTCAGATATAAATTTCGAAAAAAGAACATATCCAATATAGAATGTAAAAACATTTGCCAGCATACGGAACCATATCTGTTCTAGACATCCAAGAGAGTGTATACGGATAGGCTGTGGATTAACGGTACGCACGTTCCTGAAAAAATTTGGTTTTGAGGGTATAGTTATAGACTTGGAGGGTTGGTCTGTCATGGCCTAGGAAATGGAGTTCTAAAGAATTTGATAAACACTAGACCATTTCTGGTAACCAGGGAGGAAGATATGGTATTTGCAGGGGTGGACTGACCATTTGGAAACTTGGGCACTGCCCGAGGGCCCAGGGTCAGTAGGGGGCCCCATGAGATGCCCCTGCTACCTTTTCCATAGGCTTTTTTGAGTTTGGGCAAGGACACAGGGTCCCCATGATCCCCTATTGCCTGGGGGCCCCATGAGTTGTCAGTCCACCCCTGAGTAGTTGGTGAGTAGAGCTTCTAGATCAATGTAGACCTAGAGATGAAACACAAGCTTTAGGAAGATATATACTGTATATTAAAACAATCACATTCTTGAAGAAGTCCCATGATCTGTGACGCACCGCGTCGGAGGATGGAGTCAGGTGATGTCACTTCCGGTCACGGCCGAGACCAGAAGGTGGTATTTTTTCTCAGCTTGGAATGCAGATAAGAAAGAATTTGTAATTTTACATGTGAGTGGAATATGTTTGCTCTGTTAGAGCACCTATTGAGCCATATGGAGGGTTGATAACTACTCGATTAAGAGGCATACAAGTGGGAAGAGAATGATATCCAGAGTGTGGGGTTATATTTTTTAAAGCGCATTTGACCTTTATGTGAATATGGGTCTCAATTTGAAGTGAGCAGTCAATCTGCACATACGGTGGAGCACAATTTTATTTAACACAACGGTGACACCAATTGGGAATAAGGACTGAAACAACACAGATCTTTGCACACATGTGGATAATATATTTATTTGTGTGGACTGAATATATAAGCAGTTAAGTATTTACTTTGTCAGCACAGATTTCTTGTACATACACACAGACTGTATATTTTGTGGTGTGGATTGCATATGATTTTTATATTTAAGAATTAATTATGAGCACAAATTTATTTATATGGGCCTATCAGGGGTGGACTGACAACTCATGGGGCCCCCGGGCAATAGGGGATCATGGAGCCCCTGTGTCCTTGCCCACACTGAAACCACACCCAAAAAAGCCTATAAAAGATACCAGGGGCATTTCATGGGGCCCCCTACTGACCCGGGGCCCTCGGGCAGTGCCCGAGTGCTCTAATGGTCAGTCCGCCCCTGAGGCCTATACACCACGGGGATGACGGTGTATGTGGGACATGTTTTTGTATGTGGTATATTTATGTTGTATTTATTAAGTGCTTATTTATGAGTTTATCTATATTATTTCCATGCACATTTATGTTATTTTGCTCAGATGAAGTAATGATTATGGCACTGAATTATCATATACACAGCTAGTGTTTTTTAGTATTGGATAATATTAGATTTGCAGCACCAGGTTGTGGTGTCCATTTCACTTGAAATA